GTGTTGAATCTCTAAGACTCTCGCTAGGAGAGGGCTGCAGAGGCGAGCCCAGCTCTGTGTGGGCCCCTGGCAGAGCTGGCAGGGGCTCACAGCCTGAGTAGATCCCCTGCTCTGCGCCCCAACCCATACCCCAGTGAGAGGTCCCATAACCAGGCCCAGGAGAGGAGGTGAGCCGGCAGGGATTGGCTGAGCTGCCCCTGCCCTTGCCAGAGTCACCTCTGGGCACTCTAGGACTTTGTCCTCAAGAACAAAAACTATTGGCAGCAGGTGGATTGTCCCTTCCCGGCGGGTCACAAGGCAAGAGCTTCCTGCCAGGGCATCCTGGGCTTCCACGCTGGCCAGAACAGCCGTGGAGCAGGATTTGTGCGGGGACCAGGGAGTGAGCATGGAGCCGGGACCCCTCCGCAAGGCAGCCGGGAGCTGGTCCCCTGCCCTCTGACTCTGCCCTGCTCCCCAGCCTGCCGGCTCACAGCGCTGTTCTCAGACGTGCTCCAGTGTGTTTCCCTGGGTGCTGGCTGACGGGGCGCTGCGTGCTCCCCAGGAACTTGGAGCCAGACACATGGTCAGCCTTGGGTGCACTGTTAGAGAATCGTGAATGGCAATGCCCGTGGCCCATGACACATACAACAGGTGCTGAGGGATGGTCTGGGGGGTCTGTGAGGGGCATCCCTTCCTGTCTAGAGGAGGGATGGCCTGGAGCCCCACAGACAGAAGGGGAGCACCCAAGCCTGGCTGTGTACAGCACCGTGGGCTTTGTGCAGCATTCTCAGGCTGACAGGAAAAGGTAGAGGAGGAAGGGACCCCAAGTCCAGGAGGAAGGAGCCATCTCCAGCGCAGGTTCAGGACCCTGCCGGCCCTGGTTCACTTCCACTCTTGGCTGCCTCTTGGTTGTGGCACGTTGGGGGTGTTTAATTTCTTCAAGCTGCAGTGTTCTAAGTCGTCACATTTGGTAGTAATGCCTACCTCTGTGGCTGGTTGGATGAAGTATAGTACCTACAAAGGACTGAGTGGTACCTGGCATGCAGGGAACAGGATCATCACAGCATACCAGGTCACCCACTTTGTTTAGAACAGATTGTCCCCAGGAGGGAGCAGCCATCTGAAGTGGGGCTGGTCTGCCTCAGCACCATGGGGGCCAGTGCACTCGTGCCAGCTGTGCTGGGCACTGTTGCGCCTTGACCAGCGACCCTGGCCTCCACTCGCTAAATGACATCACATTCATGCCACTGGGGGCCACCAAATCTATCTCCAGTTACTGTCCAGTATCCCCTGAGCTAACAAAGGTGCTCCCAGCTAATCCCCTGGGAAGGAGAGGGTCCAGGAGCAGCAGGGTGGTCTTCTTAGGGTCAGGAATGTGTAGAATGTGGGGAACCCAGAGACCCTTTCCTGAAAGGCATTCACCTTCAGGCTCCCTAATGGAAACCTAAAACTCGGGTGAGGAGGCAGGTGCTCACGGCTCCTCCCCATTTCAGCTTCTCATCGGGGCTGGCAGTGTTGGGAGGATTTGCTTGTGGTCCTCTCTGTGTGAAGTGGTCCCTGTGGGATCTTGCAGGTGCTCACGGCTCTCATCCCATCCTGAGCTTTTCTTTGCAGCTGGCAGTGTTGGGAGGACTTGCTTGTGGTCCTCTCTGTGAAGTGGTCTCTGCAGGGTCTTGCAGGGGCTCTGCTCCAGCTTTGTTCTCGACTGTTAAGAGCTCCTGCGTGGCACACAGGCCCTGCTGCTGTTGCCTCGCATGCAGAACTTTGCTTTTGTGCAGCTGGCTTGGAAATGCTGTCAGTCTGCCTTGAGGGACCTCAGACGGAAATCCATGCTCAAGCTGCTGCCCTGTGGGGGGTTAGTTCATGGGGGGCAAACTGTTCACTCTCACCAAGAGCACTGCTGGAAGGAGCCAATAGGAGATGTTTCAGTGCCAGGAAGGGGGCGTGCTTTTGGTTAACTGTTCATTTTTCTTTTCACAACAGTGCGGAACCCTGTCCCTGTTCCTGCCCTTGCTCAGATCGCAGGGGGAGCCAGGGTCCCCTCCTGTCCCGGGCCAACACCCAGCATCCTTGGGTCATGGTATCCAAGTCCTCTTCCTTCTCCCTGGGTCTTTTTTATTCTTAGCCTTGATCTTGGCTTTATTTTTGGTGTTATGATGTTGCATGGAGTTTGGAAGCCACTTGGATCCTTTTTGGAGCAAAGAAATGAAATTATTATTTTTTAAAAATAAACAAACATGGAAATTGCCTCCTCAGACTGGCCTACAGTGACAGCCAGGCCATGATGTATGCCTGCACACGCATGGGAGAGGAGTTCAATTATCCAGCACCCTCTGTGGACCGGGGTTACCGTGATGGAACGTGGCTGCCTTGTTTGGGGTCTCCAGCAGTCCGGCGGCAGCGTGCAGCACTATTGCGAGTACATAATTACAGTTCTAGGAAAAGCAGAGGCACAGTGGACAACGGTGCTGAGCTGTGGGAGAGCATAAAACTACACACAGAGAGAAATGAAAGGCTGCTCTGTCTTCTCCAATAATCGCATCCCGTCTCCTTGGGAAAGCGAGGTCAGTAGTAGCCAAGGGCAAAATATGAATGTGCAGCCAAAAACAGCCACAACCTTGAAGTATTGTTCTCTTCGCTTTTGGGGGTTTTTCCTCTTTAGAATTCACTGCTGCCAGTTTCCCCTGGTTAATTCATGTTGCTCCTCCAAAGAGTTCTGATGGAATCTTGAATGAGATGCCCTTTGCCAGTTTAGCTGTGAATTCAAGAGGGCAGAACTCGCTGGTTATTAATGCAATGTTTCCATAGCCCATCATCCATTAGAATACAAATGAAACATCCTTCAGAGGCAGATTAGCCTTGGGTCTTGTGGCTTCCCTTTGGGCATCTCTGGGTAGCAAATACGTGAAACATTGTCTCAGATGACTGCTTCAGTTCGTCTGTGGTTCCCGTGTTGGGAACTTATTCCTCAAAGCCCTGAGTTAATGGTGTTGGACAGGGAGTCTTTCAGAGGCCACTGGGGTAAAACAAGGCCATAAGGATGGGGCTCCGCGAGGAGCTGAAAGCTCTAACAGGGGTGGGAAGCCATTTTTGTTGCAGGGGGCCATTCAGACATTTCCAGCATCACTTACGGTGCACAGGAATTTGTAAGTCTGGCGATTAGCCTGCAGACCAGGGGAGGCGGGGGCGCTGGCTCACACAGTCCGGTCCCTGCCTCCATGTGGGAGACCTGGATCAGGTTCCCACCCGTGGACTTGGCAATGCTGGGAGTAAGCCACTGTGTCTGTGCCTATCAAGCAGAAATCAATAAATAAAACCCTGGGATAAAGATGAAGGTACTTCAAGAAGTTTGTGGACACGTGGGATTAAAAGATATGTACGCTTTCCATGAAACATTTGAAGTACCCTTGTATCCCTCTGTGTGTGTGTAGCAAATCATTGTTAAAACTTCACTGGCAAACGTTAAGGAAAATCTGTAATAGATGTTTCATGTTCAGGGGGTTTTGCTATTGTGAAGGCATGAATTCTCTTTCATTTGAAATGTAATTGTGATAAAAATCAGAGGTTTTCAAGAGAATATTCACATCCGTTGTAAATTCTAACACTGTGTATGAAAAGGAATGCAAACAGCCAGAACAAGGGTGAAAGAAAGACTAATTCGGGGGGTTCACCACGTCAGCAATCAAGCTGTCAGCAAGGAGCGCCAGCACCCCAGAGGCGCCTCTGCTGCCATGCGCCCTTCTTGCCCACCAGTCCCTCTCGGCTTGTTCCGCTTGGAGTCCTCATGCCTGTGGCTCCTCTACCTAGAAAGTTCTGTCCATACCACTTCCTTTGTCCAGTGGCTATCTCGGAGGACCTCCTGGAACCCCCTTGCCAAATCAGCCCCCATCCCTTTCTTTCCAGATGTTGTGCCTTCACGGCTCTGTCCCTCTCTGATAGCAGACCCGCACTGCACTCTGTGTTGGCACTTCCGCTGTGCCTCCCCCACAAAAGACAGTGTTGTGTCTTCCTTTCCTGCCCATGTCGGCAAGGCCTCCCACCGCTGTCAGTTCAGCTTGTGACTGGTGGGTCATGAACTTCCCTGCCAGGCATGATGCATGCCACGCCTCTACCTGACTCACCCCCTACCACCGTGTATCCTGTCCCAGAGTGACCCTGGTTGGCACAGGTCCTCCAGCCCACCCCACCTGCAGGAGGGGGCTGGCGGCTTGCTCCCCACAGCCCACTGCTCCCCAGAAAGGCCCCTGAGCACCAGCCCTGACCTTGTCAGGGGCTGTTAGCTCAGCCCTGCTTTCCCAAGGACTGTTTCTTTGTCCTAGGGTCCCTAGTACAATCTCCAATTCCTGTCTCACAAGGCTGCCATTCCATAAGCATCTGGCACAGCCATGATTTGGGGCACAAAAAGCAACTCCCCTGTCCTTTGCCATAATGTGAACACTTGCAAATGGTGACTGAAATGTGTTGGAAGTAGTGGGACTGCAGGCCAGCCACTTCCTGCTTCCTGGACCCCTTGTCTGCGCAGTAGGGGGTACAGAAGCTGCTTCTGATGCTAGAATTCCTCATCCTATAATTATATCCCTGGCATAACCCCTTTCCTGTGACTACCCTAGACCCAGCATTCCTGAATCCCTTGTACCTCCAACTGTAGCCCAGGTGGGATTCCTGGGAAGTCGTAAGCATCCTAGAGACTGACTTCTGCAAATCCTGGTGAGACCAAGTTAATGCTTATGCCAGAAGCCACCGCCCTGCCATGTTCTGTTAAAGCCTCGTGCTGGCTACTCTGCATCTTTTGCACAAGGGAGGGGCTCTCGCTGGGTACTCCCAGCTGCCTTTGTTACAAAGAAAGGAGGTGACCCTGACAACACGGAAGGCAGCAAAAGCCTTTTGCCCCTCTTCCTCTCCCACAGCACCATGACCTGGGCAGCCCGGGTCCACCCTCTGGGTTTCAGTCTGCTCTCCTATAGAGAGTGGGGGCATTGGCCACAAGGATCCTGACCTTCTCTATCCCTCTTTGTCCCCAGGTACTCCTTCCAGGACGAGGAGGACATGTTCATGGTGGTGGACCTGCTGCTGGGGGGTGACCTGCGCTACCACCTGCAGCAGAGCGTTCATTTCTCAGAAAGCGCTGTGAAGCTCTACATCTGCGAGCTGGCTCTGGCCTTGGAGTATCTGCAGAACTACCGCATCATCCACAGGTACCCGGCCGAGGCAGGGGCCATGTGAGAACGGCGGTGAGCAGGGGAGAGATGCAGGGGCAGTTTTCAGGCAGAGAAAGGATCTCATCTCTGAATGCATGGTGTATAAAAGAGTTCCTCATGGGGTGGACTTTGTCTGCCGTGTGCGTCCTACTTTATCACGGGATCAACCTGGCCACTCTTTTCTTGGGGGAGACTGGGCTGGAGACTGGGGGGCTCGCATCTTGAATCAGAAGGGTCCCAGGGGCGTTTGTCCTGCTCACCTGTGGTCCCGTGAGCAGCTCTGCTCTCTCACTGTGCATCCTTTGAGGTTGATGCTGTGCACGTCCCTCCCTCCCAGGAAGACTCAGGGTTGTTCTGGGCCTCAGCTGGGCATGCTGAGTGGCTGCTGCCTTCCCAGCGCTGCTGGCCAGCACAGGCAAACAGGACTGAAGCTTGGCAAGAGGCTCTGGAACATGGCGCTTTCTGGAACCAGGTCTTTTCAATGACCACAGGGAGGTGGCTTGCCTAGGGGGCTCGAAGACCATTCCCTCCGTGCTCTGGTGCCGTTTCCCACTGATCGTCTTCTGAGTTGCATGGTTTTGGAAGACTCACTGAAAACATCGCTGAGCATCTGTGTGAAGACAGATTATACACACACATTTCCACAGTTATGCTTCCTCGCTCCCCAAACCCTGGAAAAGCATATTACAAAATGTCTGAAGAGTGACAAACTCGTGGGACTGGGGAAGGCGAAACCATGGTAGAGCCTTAGGAGTTGTTGGAAAGATGATGTAGAATGCAAATTATTTAGGATCCCAGCAGCAGATTTTCATTTGTCACTGGGGAGAGCTTGAATGGGGTTAGAGTGGAACACATCCCAGAGGCTCAGCACTTGGCTGAACCTGAAGGGAGAGCGGAGGCGAGAGGCAAATGAGATGAATGGGTGGAAAACCTCTAAATACTAAGGATTGCTGACCATTTTACATGCCCTGCACAGCAGGATGGCTGCCACTTCCTTATTCAAGCAGTGGTCCAAAGGTTGTTCACGACTGAGGCTAAAACAGAAAGCCTGGGCTGAAGGGCACCAAGTCTTCTTGGGTTGGGACACAGTATGAAAACCAACAAGGTGATCTGAACGCATACGCACCAGCTGCCCCTCAGGAAGGGTGGCCTCAGCCAACCTCCTTCAAGCAGGAAAGCTGTGTGATCACCATGAGAACGTGACTGAGCTAAGAGAAAGCCATTGTGACATCACAGGTTGCCCATGGCAGCTCAGAATGTAAGTTCATGGTCGGAAAGTCCCATTGAGGCATTGCCAACTTTGCAGCCCACTCAGTGACAACCAAGGACTGTCAGACGCCGGGAGAAATCCAACACCAACATCAAGATCTGAGACATCAAACAGGAAGATGCAGAGCTTGAAGTAAACAAAGGCCCTGAAAACATCAAAATCAACAGGATCAGGTTATTATCTGCCCAGGGAAGTTGTGCAAGTGTAAAACAGGACGTTCACTTGGTAAGCCTGAGAACAAGCATCAGGAGTTTATAAATTAAAAATGTAAAGTGAAAAGCCTGGAAGATAGGTTGGAAGATGAGCCTTTAAAGATGCTTTCCTACAAAGTTTGGGTGAAAAGATTTAAAGAAAATGTGAGAGAAAAAAAGTTAGCAGATTGGACTACCAGCCTAGAAGTTTCGACGTCAGAGAGGAGGGCAAAAGCATAAAGGAAGAAATTGTTGGTGAAATAATTCAGATCTCAGAACTGAAGGACTCTTCCAAGGACACTTTACAACACTAGCAGCAGGCAGCCCAGCAGATCCCAGATGTGGTAAGTTTCCGCAGGAGAGCAACAGTCAGACTGAAAGCTTGGAGGGATCTTGAGTTTCTCAAATACCAACCAACATGCATGAGATGTGTCTTTCTCCAAGTGATATTTCTCAAAAATTTTTCTCTGGTTCACTCTCAAATCTTATGAGAATATGAAGGTTTTGAACCAAAGGAGTAAGTCAGGGAACAAGGAAATGGGACTACAGAACGCCAGGAGATGGCAGAGGCATGCTAGCTGTACTTGGGGTGGTGTGGACCACCACGCACCCCGGGGGGGCGGGTGGAAGGCCCTGGGAAAGGCTTCTTTAGGAAGAGTTACCAGAAAGACTTTCTGATCCAGCCGGCTTTTGCGGTAGGAGACTGTTCATAAAGACTCTTGAAATAGGATTAGTGAGAAAGTCTCCTCTCTTTCTCTCTCTCCCTCTCTCTCTCCCTCTCTCTCTTCCTTTCTCTCTCTCTCTCTCTTCCTCTCTCTCTTCCTCTCTCTCTTCCTCTCTCTTTCTCTCTCTCTCACACACACACACACACACACAAACTCGGCCGTTAAATAATGAGACAAATATCAGTCCCAGGGCATCCAGATGTTCTACAAAACATCGTCTGTGTGGCACATTCCGGCACGTGGTGCCTTGTCATAATCCCCTAAATCATAAAAACTGATGTAACCCAAACCATACCCCATCGGAAAATGGGAGGAATTGGGGGGATGAGCATGCGCTCTTAGAGACCGGGCAGATAGGAAAGACTTCTCCATCCCCCTCTGCTGTGGTATGAAGCCAACAATGAAGAGCCTGGAGTGAAGAAAAGCACAGAAATCTTATCATAAGGAGGTACAGAGCTGAATTCCCCCTGGAGGAGACAAATGGATGGAGAATAATCAGTGGAAGAGAAGGTGCTAAACTTTGCTGTTACCATGAAACTGGAGTCCTCGGACTATTCGCACGCATGGCTTGGACATAAAACAACCCAAAGGAAAGCCACTGTGCAAGGGCCCCAGTTGCTCATTTCCTCAGTCACCTGCCAGGCTGTGGATGCAGGCGCTCTGGCTCCGGAGGCTGTGTCTACAGCCCTGTGCTATTTTTGGTAAAGGTCAACTCATGGCACATTATGCCGCCTCCCCTGGCTGGGCCTCTTTGTAGGTGCTGAAAGGAGAGAGTTCCTTATTGATGAGTTACTGATGTGTCACTCATGAATTAGCAAAAATACCCTTGCAGATTCTGAGTCATCAGGACAGTGGTCAGAGAGATGTCAACTTAACAGGGCAAAACCAGGGATAGACAAGGCAGAAACGGGACCATCACCTTTATAGCATGGCTAACTGCTGGCGCTGTGTCACTAAGTCCCAGCAAATGCTTTGAAATGGCTGTACAGGGTGCTTCTCCAATGGAGACCATCTGCCCTTAGCATCCAGGTTAACAAGAAGGAAAGGGACCTATATGGTCATTTAGGTAATTATTATTTTTTTTTGAGAAATCCTCTACATCAATGAGTAATGGCAAATTTTACGTGTCAACTTGACCTGGTGGAAGGATGCCCGTGTTGTGGGAAGGCATTATTGCTAACTGTGTCTGTGAGGGCATTTTCAAGAGAACAGCACTTGAGTAGGGGAGCTGAATAAGCAGAAGCCCTCCCCCGTGGGTGTGGTCATCACCCAAGCCTTCCTGTGCTGGACGGAGGCAAAAGGCAGAGGAAGGGAGAACCCTCTCCCTGCGTGAGACATTCACCTTCTCCTTCCTCTTGGGGTTCTTGCTCTTGGGTCTGCAGCTTTCAGGTGCAAAGCCAGCACTTACACAGTCAACCTCCCACTTCTCTGGTCTGTGGAGTTACGATAAGTTGTACCATTTGCCTTCCTGGTGCACCAACTTGCAGAGGGCAGTTTGTGGGACCTGAGAGTTGCTGTGAGCACACAAGCCAGGTCCAATGACAAGCCTCCTTTTTATCCGTTCATCCATCTATTATCATCCATCTATCTGTCACCTATCATATCTATTATATATATCTATCTATCCCCCATCTAACTTCTGCAGATCCATCTGGCCCACGTCTATCTATGACCTTTCCCCGTCACCTGTCCATCATCTTACCTATTGCATTGGTTGCATTTCAAGAACTGCAGTGACTTCAGTTGAATTACCTTGCCAATTCCTCCCATTTGTCTTATAAATCCCCTTTTCAATGTGTACATGTATACAGATTGGACATTAGGAGTGTGTGTATGCTCAGTGCATGGAGACATATAGTAGTGAAATGCAGTGTTTTGCCTTCATTCGTCAGCTGAACTTAGAAGTCCCTCACTGCGCATGTGCCAGACACAGTGAGTGTGTATCTGCAGATAAATGGTGCTTGTTACAGTACAGACACACTCGTAGGGAACGATCCCTGTGTGAAAGTTGGAGTTTTGATCTCCCATGCAGTGCATCTAGACAAGTTACTTAACTCCACTGACTTAACTATCCTGCCTCACAGTTTGCAAATTCTATGAAAAATGCCCTTAAAGACTGTAAATGTGCCTGGCTTCTTTGGGGTGGCTCAGTTTGCTGACTTGGAAACCAGAAGGTCAATCCTTCATATGTTCTCAGTGATAACAGTTCTCTCTCAGGTGAAGGTAATGTTAAATGTCTTTAGAAAAAGAAGGGTATTCCCTGGTGAGGTGGTTCGTTTCCAAGCAGAAAAAGACTACCGTAAGTTCCAAATAAATGATTGTTTAAAGCATCAAGAATGACTTTCCATGACATTTGAACTGGGTCTTTGTTTTCCATCTGGGCAAAGCAAGGTGCCACCCCTAAGAGGCAATGATGCATGAGACACCTCCCCTGTGTCTGAGCATCCACGGGGAGAGAAGCCCCTGCTGCAGGGAACAAATGACTTCACCCCCTGGGGAAGACAATGACAGAATGCCAAACCGTGGTCTATAGGAGCTCTGACGAGGGACTCCACACCCAGCCTGGAGAAGGCAGCAGGGCAGGGCACACAACTGGCAGGGTTTAATTTGTGGGACAATCAGGGATTATCCCAGAGACAATAAATGCAGAAGGTGCTGGGCAGAGGAGCCTAAACTTAAGAAGCCCAAGTGGAGGCCCATGTCCGCCTGGGTGGGAGGTGAAACGTTCAGAAGGACGATGAGTTGGAGCCCAGGAGAGATGTGATCCGAGTCATGCTCGGAGTCTCCTGGGTCGATGGGCAGGTGCCGCTG